CTCTAACAGAAATACCACAGATGAATGGGTGGCTTTAACAAACAGAAACTCACTCTCTCACACTTGAGGAGGCTGGAAGTCCACATTCAGGGAGCTGACTGAAGGGGAAGGTGCCCATGCCCGTGCCCACGCCCGCTCTCTCAAAGCTCTGGGAGGAAGGTCATTGTCCCTTCAGCTTCTTTCCTGGTTCTTTGGAGACCTCCTTGTGGCTTGGCATATCCCCCACCCCCATCTCTGCTTCTCTGAATGTCTGTTTAATGTCTTTGATATCTCAAGAGAAATTGATTCAAGACACACCTTACACTATCGTCTTACTCACTTACCTAAAATGGCCCATTCCCAAATGGGATTATCACGATAATTTTTTTTTAATTAGAAAAAAAACAAAACACCTGTGTCTATAAGGTTGCCAACACTATAATCTTTATAGATGCGGACTGCCACAGTCTTTCCCACAGAGAGACTGGTGGGTTCCAACCATCCACCTTTTGGTTACCAGCTGAGCACTTAAGTCCCTGTGCCACCAGGGATCCTTTCATAAAATTATTGGGTATCTTAAAATCAGTGGCATCGTTTGGCTAAGTAAACTTATCAGAAGGATAAATTGTGTATGATCCCACTTACATGAAGTCTTCAGTCCAGGTAAAGTCATGGGGACACAGGGTGGTTCAGAGGTGACCAGGGCTGGGGGTGAGAAGGGAAGAGGGGAAATGGACAACTCTGGCTGAGTGGGTGCTGAGCTTCTGTTTAGGGTGACAGCAATTGTGGAAATGATTAGTGGTGATTGCTGCAAGGCCTGGTGAAATGACTTAACGTCACTGAATCAAATCGGCCTTGTAAAAATGGTTGAAATGGCAAAGATGTTTTCTTACATGTGTTTCACTACAATAAAATTTATGAAAAGAAACAAAAGGAATTCAGTGGCATCTTAGAAATACAACAAGTAAGATGACTTGGTGCTATGAATGGCACTGCCTTCATGGTAGATGTCTTTGTGTAGTTGTAGTTGTTGTTATTGTTATGTGCCTTCGCGTTGGACTCAACTCATAGCGACCCTTCCTTGGGTTTCCGAGGCAGTATCTCTATGGAAGTAGATTGCCCATCTTCCTTCCGAGGAGTGGCTGGTAGGTTTGAACCGCCAGCCTTCTGGTTAACAGTCAAGTGCCTTAGGCACTGCACCACCAGAGCTCCCTTTTGTGCAGTAGACAACATGAACAACCATACATGGCCGCCCCACTCAAATACTGGATGCTAATAGGCCTGGGGGAAGGAGGGAGTCATTGGTGGGAGGGTCAGCATCCTGTCATCACATCCCAACCCATGTTCAGCTGTTCTGCCCCCTTCATCCCCCTTGGCAGGTGACAGTAAATTTGGATCAGTACATCTACATGAAGTTCTGGGCCCTGGGCCAGCGAGTTGGGCACATGCCCCGGAAATCCAGCGTGGGCTCCAAGCGTGGCTTCTTCACCAAGTCGCCCCCTGCTGAGAGGTGAGACGGGCTTATTTCCCAGCTGCAGTGAGAGGGAGCAAGGTTAGAGTCAAGAGGGGACAGACAGGTCAGTGACTGGGTGTGGGTGTCTGGGGCCCTGGTGGGAAGCCAAGGAAGGGGGAGGGGTGCATCATCAAAATGCCTTTTCTTCCCAAGGGCAAGTAAGAGCTATTCCCCAGGAAAGAGAAGGGGGTAAGAGCTGCTCTTCCATTTTCCAGATGAGGCAAAATGAGGCTCAGCCTGGGCCGGCCACACTCTCAAAACGTGGTGCAGCCCGCCCTCTAGTGAACAGCTGGCTTTTAACTAAAGAAACTTAGGTACAGGCTCAGCTTGCTGTTGGCTCCCGTCAAGTTCATTCTGACTCATAGCAAACCCCTGTGACACAGTGGAACTGCCCCATAGGGTTTCCTAGGCTGTCCTCTTCACAGGAGCAGATGGCCGGGTCTTTCTCCCCTGAAGCCGCTAAGTGGATTCCAACCGCCAGCCTTCAGTCAGCAGCTGAACACTTAACCATCGTGCCACCAGGGTTTCTTCACTGCTAAAGAGGCAAGGAGGCCACACCTTCTGACCTCCTGCAACTGCACTATCAGTAGCCCAAGGCCTATTCCTGTGAGGCCAGACATGCTGCCTCCCTCCAGCCCTTTCACCAACTCTGACACCAACCGTTCCTCTCGCAGCACTCACCACCTTTTTGTTGGGTTCAATAATTCACTGCATTGGCCACACAGAACTCACAGATTGTGGGGTTTATTAGGGAAGCACCAGGCTACAATTCAAGTTCAGGAAAAACGTTCAGTCTCTCTCAGCCCGCCGTCTCTCAGCCAACAGTGTCTCACAGTCTCTCTCCCAGCAGTGCGTGTCCCTTGATGTCTCTCTCAGCAATGCGTGGCTCTTGTGTCCTTTTCCCAGCAGTGCGTATCTCTCAGGAGTGCGTTTCTCTCAGCAGCATGTTCTTCTCAGCCAGCAGTCAGAGAGACTTCTGCCTCTAGGAGGCCTCCTTTTGAGCCTGGCACAGTGGCCAAACTAGCCAATCATAACATCAGAATTCTAAGCACTTGAGAGAGAGTGAACTTCCCAGAACGTTGCTTTGTGCCACTCCCAACAGAAATACCCCAGGTGGATAACTTTAGCAATCAGGAGCTCCTCAGTTTCTCACAGCAAATTCCACCATGGAGTTTACAAAGACTTATGGCTAGAAAAGCCATACCAGGTAACTTACTACACTGCATTCACTTAATAACCAGCTCAACAACTC